TCAAGGTTTTGGGTTTTGCACATATGAAGTGTAGGGACAGTACCCATCTACTGCATATAAGATGGATAAAACTTATTTATTAACAGCACTTTGAGATCCTCAGGTTAAGAAATGGTTTTACATCAACTTAATATAACTGTAGTGGATTGACAGGATAAATCATTGTGATCTTTAGGTATGATTCTGCAAGAACCACAGCATCTTTGATTTCCAACTTTGTTCATAAGTGTCACAAGAGTTTATGGTTACATATACACTTATTTAGTGGAACAGCTAAATGCCTGATCATGACACTTCTTTTTTGTCCTTTATACTACAGGTCCAGAAGCACTAGGGCACTTGATTTAGTTTTCATTGCTAAGCCACAAAGACTGCAAACATGTCTCTGGAAGACATCCACATGAACACCCAGGATTTGCTTGAACAAAAACAATTAGATGCTGGAGGATTCGGAACTATTTCTTTATGCTTTCACAAGAAACATGGATATGTAGTATTAAAAAAAGTGTATACAGGACCACAGCGCACTGAGTAAGTTATAGATCTCAGTTCTGATTTTTATCTTTCAGTTAGTGTAAGTCTGCTAAACTCAGTGGAGATAAATCTAAATAGAGTGTAATAATTTTGAATCTTTGGCTTCTGGAGATACTGTATATGAGGCAAATAAGATAATGCTAGCAGTTGTCCTGCAAATTTTCCTTTTTTCCCCTCACGAGACAACTTTTTAAATTTTAGCTTATTGTTCAAGTGAAGTTCCTGTTTTTCATTTCGAGGGGAGCACTATTGTGAATTGTTAAGAATCAAGAAGACTCTTGCACACTTAAGGAAATGCAGGAACTCAGTGGCCACATGATATTTTCAGACTTGCAGATATGTTTACAATACAGTTATCCAACTGTAGATGTCCGCTAGAAACTAAACGCACATAAATTACCAGCAGGATTCCAACTGCTCATGTGTAATACCAAGAATGTAACCTTCTCCCTTGAGAAAAAAGCAGAGCGAGCCAAGCCCACTGATTTAATTCAAGGATTGAATTAGTTGTTGATTTCAGTGGATTCAGGTCACATTGCAGCTCTACTACCTCACAGCTATAGCAATCGTAAAGCTCTCCCATGAGTCATCCCCTAGAGAGAGACGAAAGTCCATATTCTTTCTACTTTGGGTTATAATAAATAAACTGAGTTTTTATTTTGCCAGTGGAAAGCAAATTAAGAGATTCTAGTAGTTTGTAGACTGCAATGACAGTTCCGGATGAACACAGTTAAAACAGACAAGCCTGCCAAGTTTATTTTTGGGTTTGTGTTTTTATTTTCTCACTAGACAGGCTCATAATTTTGTCATTCCTTAAAATACTGAACCAAAATTCTTTCGCATATTTTTTAACTGAGCCTAATGCAAACAAAACAATCAGTTCTCCCCCTACTATGGAAGAACACAGAGGGAAAAGGCAGTTTCCTTTTAAGTCACAGGGTAGGAAAGCATTAGCAAACAATATAGTATCAAGATTTTCTTACATGCTTTTGTCTGATGACTAGAACAGGAGCAATAGTAAAAATACCACCTTCTGTATTATATAATGGATACTATCTTTTTTTAGCACCCTTAGTGAGTTCCCAGCTATGTACCTGTGATTATTCATGGATTGTACTGAGGCCCAGGTAAAGAGCTGGGCTTTGAATTCATCCTCAACCAGTAATTGTTAGCAAATGCTATCATCCAGTGTGTGGGTGGATGCCTTATAATAAATCCGTTTTGAACATGAACATGAATACCAGCCCTTCAGAAACGAGACCTCTGTAAGTTTCCTGTACAAGAGGTAGTGGAGGAGGTCTTGACCCTCCTTGTTCCAAGGCTCTTTCAGCTCTACCCTGATCCCACCCCTGTTCAAAGATTTGGACATACACAACCAGAAGTGCATCTATAAAAAAAATGCTTATGCACTTTCTGAAAAGCAGGCCTTAAAATCAGGCTGAGCAGAGAGTCTCTATGTAAGGCATTAGAGTAGAGTCTTAGAGAATACAATCTGGCCTGAACAAAGCTGCATCAATTAAAAATCAGCTGAAGGTATGGTTAATCATACAGGGGCTCTAAGGATGTTGAGATTTTTGGCCACTCTTTTCCTTATGAAAATGTCATTTTCATCCCTGTGTTCTTTCTAGCCTGGCACCTAAGTTCAATGTAATTTCTGTTTTACAGATACAATGTTTCCCTCCTTGAAGAAGGCAGGATTATGCGCAGACTGCAGCATGACCGTGTGGTAAAACTACTGGGTATCATTTTGGAAGATGGAAACTACTCACTTGTGATGGAGTATGTGGACCGGGGGAACATGATGAAAGTGCTACAGCAAGTGAGCAGTCAATTACTTCATCTCTTAGGGTTGATAAGGTGCTTGAAATGGACAGGATGTTCCTGCTGTCTCCAGAGAATGGAGCCTTTATTTTCTCATTCTTCCTTCTGTGTTAAAAAGCCAATGGCAGCACTCCCTTTTCTAGAAACAGCAGACAATGACTATGGCTTCCCTGTGCATCACAGAGGAGCAGACCAGTTACAGGTTAAAAAGCTATAGAAGTGTTTGTAGAGATATGTGGAGAATTTTCTAAAGAAAAATGCTTCTATAAATACGGAGTGACTCTAGATTTACTTTAATGCCAAAATTTAGATCCAAGAAGGGCCTTAAAATCATAGAATATCCTGAGTTGGAAGGGACCCACAGGGATCATCAAGTCCAACTCCTGGCCCTGCACAGGATAACCCCAAAAATCACAACCCCCCTCTGGGTGAAAAAACCTTCTAATATCCAGTCTAAACCTCACCTGCCCCAGCTTCATGCCATTCTCCCTGAAAGGTCCTCACAGAGAAGAGAACAGTGCCTGCCCCTCCACTTCCCCTCATGAGGAAGCTGTAGACCATGATGAGGTCTTCCCTTAGCTTCCTCCAGGCTGAGCAAACCAAGTGACCTCAGCCACTCCTCATATGGCTTCCCCTCTAGACCTTCCACCATCTTCTTAGCTCTCCTTTGGATGCTCTCCATTAGCTTTATATCCTTCTTATATTGTGGTGCCCAAAACTGCACATAGGACTCAAGGTGAGGCCACACCAGTGTGAAGTACAGTGGACAATCACCTCTCTCGACCGGCTGGCAATGCAGTTCTTTTTTGCCACAGCTTGAGCAGAGGTACTCTTGAGACTGAGAAAGAAACTTTTTTTAAAGATTGCGCTTTAATTTGATGGTTGTAGCTGCATTTTTTAATAGATGGCATTTCTTGTTCTTTCTTTTAGCTCTCACTGCCTTTGTCAGTGAAAGGGCGTTTTGTGCTGGAGATCACAGAAGGAATGCTTTATCTGCATGAGCAAGGCTTTGTACACAAAGACTTAAAACCAGAAAACATCCTTGTGGACAGAGACTTCCACATTAAGGTACCTGTTAAAATGTAAATGGAGAAAGCTGGTGATATGGGTTGAAGAATTCAGTTCAGCTGCACTGCTTAGTGTTCCTAAAGTGGTAGGATTGGTAGAGTAGTTTAGTGAGCTATCATGACGAGACTGTCACTAAGAGAGTGTTAGCCATGAGTCATTGAAGTATGGTAGCCTATACAACCTCCGAGTCTGAGATTTGCAGAGTATTCCCCCAACTGTGAAAAAAATCACTAAAGGCATTAAAAAAATAATATTATTGAGAATTAATGAGCTATAAATAACAAAACAACTAGAAAGGTAAAACAAACATTAAAACAGAGATTGAAACAAAATAGAATGTTTTATGGATCATGTCTTTTGTCCTAGATTGCTATAATCTCTCCTCCTGCCTTTACCTCCTTCTTTTTATTTCTTTCCTTCTTTTGCCTATTATCTTTTCCTCTTTTATATCCCTCTTTTTTTCCTTAGTCATCCTTTTAAAATGACATCCAGCAGCTACAAAAAGAAAAAAGCATCAGGACACTACTTCAAAGAATGGCTTATAAGCCTGTTCCAAAGCCCTTCTATTAATTTTAGAGGGGGTTTGGATCAAGACACATAGATATAGAGGCTACTGCAGAATAAACCTGAGTGGAATATGCTGCAGTCCTCATCAAATATCCTGTTTCTGGTCAAGGTGAGTTGTTGAAATAACCACCCCATTACAGTTTGAAACTACAGAATAAATTTCTGTGAAGACAGCTCTGTCATTTTCTATTTCTCACACATAAATTAGTGAATTGTTAATATAGTAGGTTAATATAGTAACAAGTGCAGTATGAGCAGTTTGCAGATAAGAATTTTTAAAATTTTTTAAATTTTTTTTATTTTTCCAAAAATAAAAACCCCATCATGATCTGCTTTAAATATAAATTGGATGGGGTTTGGGGTTCCAACTTGCTTATATGGAGCAGACCAAACTAGGCTATCATCACACTTCATGACAAACTGAGGTGGAACCTAAGATTAAATTCAGAATCAGATCAGATTTCCTTAAGCAGGCTGATCAAAAGTATCGTTTAAGGTGGCTGTTGTTAAGCCATCTGCTTAAATGTGTCTAACACTGTCAATATTTAGAAAAAGAAATAGTTGTTCTAGGAAACTGCAAATGTAGAAAGATTTATATCATATCTTCCTCTATCACATTAAACCTCCTCTCACTTGTAGACATGAATTTAGACTCTTTGGACAGGCTACTTCCTCAGCAGCATGTCACCTTTCCTCTGAATATATGACCTCTAAATGCAGCCCAAAGCTTCAGAAACACAAGAAGAACAATAAGCTAGTTAGAGGCAACAAGAGAGAAAGGAAAAGTGTGTTAGAAGTGAGGCAAGATATCATCTCAGTTTTCACTTGAAGTTATTGGGTTACACAGCTCTGTTTGACAGCTGCTTATGGCCAAGGGAGACAGTCTCATTTTCTTTCATTTTTCCTTTCCTGTTGACCTTCTGTTCCCTTGTGTTAGCACTGGTGGTAATCTGATTACCCTGTCCTGATTTAGGAAGCCAAACTAGCAGATTACTATTTACCTTGTTGGCAGTGCTACCTTTCTGTTGGGGCACACTTGGTTCAGCAAGCTGGTTGCATGCCTTGCACTAGTTCTTCCCAGATAAGTGACCGTGCTAGAACAAGAGGAGCAAAGGGAGTGTATAACAGGAGACTGGGAAAAGGAGGGAGGGATTTCTTTATTCATCAACAGCCGTTAGTCTAGTTGCAAAACTGCACCCTAAAGTTTTGGTAATGTCACCTTGTCAAACATACAGTACCCAGGTATCCCTGCTTTAACGTATTCCATGCTATCCTTTTCCATCTCTCTTTGTCAAGCACATCACATTGGTTTAGATCCCCTTCTTCCCCTTTCGTGTAGGAAGATCTAAGGAAGTTGAGTTAGCTGAAATCTAAATGGAAAGGGCAGTGAGGGAGGAGGGATATCTGCCCATCTCACAGATTGCTTCTAGATTTGAATCTTAGCTTCTTTTTGTATGAATTTCTGTTCTCCCACAAGCACTGCAGACAGACCTCGAACATGATTGTCAATACAGGCAAAACCAAACTTCTTCTATCCTTAATTGTGCAATTGTCCCAAGTGGAGTTAAGTTAATAATAAAGGTTCAGTCTAATGGTTCCCCGTTGGCAGTGATACTTTATTTAGGAAAAAAAAACAAACCAAACCTACCAACCAACCAAAGAAAAACAAAGCAAAACAAAAAAAGCAAATAGTTTGTTTTCCTTTTTTTAGTTGCATTTTTTCTAGTGTTTCATTTTTAGGTAAGTTATTATATTATTATTAGTAATTATAAAATTGAGCACTGCATGAAATACTTGTTTATCTCCTCTTCATTACAGCACTAGCTCTGACGTGTCTCATTTTTCAGATTGCAGATCTGGGTGTTGCCTCCTTTAAGAACTGGAGTAAGCTAACCCAAGAAGAAACTGTCCGACAGAAGCAAATAAAGAGCACTTGCCAGAACAATGCTGGGACTCTTTTCTATATGGCCCCAGAGCATTTACTCAGTGTTAATGCAAAACCAGTGGAAAAATCAGATGTTTACAGCTTTGGCATAGTGATCTGGGCAATTTTTGCTAACAAGGAACCATATGAAAGTAAGTTACTTCCGAAAGAATGCTATCACAAAATGAAGTTACAAATGTTAAGCATTTAAAGTTATAAAATTAAGATTAGTAGATTAAATCACCCATGGCCTAAAATAGGGCCTGTTTGGCCCCTCATGGCCAGCAAGAGGCATTAGTTGCATCACTCCTGACTCCTAAGCATGGACAAGAACATCTGAATGAAATGCAGGTGTGAGCTGAATCTATTCACATCTATATGGTGTGGGCACAAACTGGACTCAGTGGCAGAAGTTAGACAAACCTCATGTGGGCCAGAATGGAAACTTTGATGTCCACTATTTCTTGAGGTGGACTAGTTATGTGTGGTTTTTCTTTCAACGGGAATGATCACACACATAGTTACCGCTTCTCAGCTGCATGGTGCTGACTTCTCAACATGCACTAATGTTAGCCTTACATAGGAGCCATCTGTGGAATTCCAGAGTAACGCATTTATAATTTTGAATGGATTTTTTGCTAACTAAATGGCTAAATGTTATCTATGTGGCCATCTTTGTGTTCATACCCAGTGCAGAGCATAAGCAAGATGCAGGTTCTAGGGAGCTAGTTCTGTCACCCTTACTCACACTGGGCATGTCTTATATATAAAAGTAAATCCATTAATCTTAAAATAAATCTCTAATCCATGGAAGTTAGGGCAGTGGATTCAAATTCACTAATATGAAATATCTGTAGATGTAACTTGGACATCTTTGAAACCATATCCACAAACACACAGGGAGCTGCTTCATTGTTTCTTTTACCTATGGAAAGGTAGCAAAACCTGTGATCAAGATCTGATAGGAAATTTTATTTTTCAGATGGTATAAATGAAGCCCAGATTTGCTTTGGCGTCATAAATGGAAACAGACCAGACTTAAAGGAGATCACTGATAAATGTCCAGTGGAAATTATTGACATAATGAAACAATGCTGGGAGCAAGAGTCAGAGAAACGGCCAACCTTTGCAGGTAAGGCATTGTTTTAGCATTCTTTTTGTCTCGTGTCCATCAATAGTTTGCAATGGACCAAAACAAACTTGAGTGTTTTCCTCTTGAAATATAATTTTTTTCTTTGAAAACCAAAATATCAATTCACACACCCTGTAAAGCATGCTTCCTGTACCCTGACCAAAAATGGTCAGGGACAAGCATTTACAGATTTGAGAAATACTAGTGAGTGAATGAAGCTACGACACTTTATACCTGATGATAATTTCTCTTCAGTGTAATATAATCTTTCTGCTGAAATTTTTAGAAAAACTAACATTAAGGGATGTAGTATATCTTGACTATGACTGACAAAATATCATATTCAAAATATTCTAGATTCAAAAGCTGTCCTAGTAATTGTTCCATAAGCAATCCAACCGACTTTGACTAGCTCATCATTCTTTCATATGGTCAGATCCCAAAACACTTGCAGTCAGTAGAAGTCTTAGCTGAATGGTCTGGGAAGGAGAAATTATAAGAGCATTCAGGAAATAAGTCAAAATCCTGTGTCTCCTCATCTCTTCTTTCTATCTCAATATATAGTGCCAAAAAAATAAAAAGCCAACACAAAAAAACCTCCAAAACAACAACAACAAAAAAAACACAACCCACAAAGAAAACCCCAACATATAACAGGAAGTTTGTATTTAGACAGGGGCACCACCATCTTCATATACGGCAGGCATGTATTTAAAGACTCAGAGGAAATTTGTGTACCAGGAGGAACCCATCTACTATCCCCATATTTAACATACATAATCTACTGCTAATAGATTAAGCTTATGCTAGTACTGGGTCTTAGCTTCTAATTTTCCCATATGCAAGTCAAGGAAAGGTGCTCTCAGCTACAGGTCACATACAGAGAGGTTTCACCCTAAAAAGAAATACAACAACAAAAAAAAAATCTGTGGGAGTCATCCTGTTCTTGTTACTATTTTAAAGCTAAATGTACCATGTGAACAAATTCCAAATATATGTATAACTTTGCTGTTTCTGACCTGATAGAAGTCTTTATTCAATCCTTATCCATCAAGATTGTTAACATTATGTCACTTTTATTTTCCATTGAAAACCACTTTCACTTAGTTATTTTCTTTTTGCAGAAATTAGTGAAAGATACAAGCCATTTTACTACCAAAATCTAGGAAAAAATATCGAAGAAGATCTGAAGAATTTAAAAGTGAGTAACTTTCTGAGCATTCTGTGGTGTCAGTTCCCCACATCCCCTCTTCCCAACCCCAATTATGGCCAGATTCTGCCACTTGGAGACTGTTCATGCTTGACCAACCTGGTTTCCTTCTGTGATAAAATGATTTGTAAATGAGGGAAGAGCAGTGCACGTCATTTATCTCAACTTTTGGAAGATCAACACTCTCGCCCAAAATACTCTTGTATCTGAGTTCAGATGTTACTGTCTGGATGAGGAGATGAAAACAGGTTGGATGGCAAGTCTCAGAGGACAGCAGTTAACTGGTCCTACTTCACCTGCAGGCCAGTAGCAGGTGCAGTAGTGCAGGGGTCTGGGACCTTCCCTGGTGCACTCTTTTTATCAGTGAGGTGATAGAAAGCAATGGAGCCACACATAAGGTGTGGAGGTGACACCAAACTAGAAGGACAAATCAATACAGTCACAAGGACAAGGCTGGAGGACTGTGGTGACAGAAACCTTGTGAGATTCAGAAAGGTCAAATACAACATGTTGCGCCTGGAATTAAATACCCCTGGCTTCAGTGCCAACCAATGGCTGCCCAGCCAGGGAGCAGCACTGCTGAGAAGATGCTCAGGTGAGCAGCAACCTGGGCACCAGCCAAGGCCCGACTAGCCCCAGCGGAGTCACAGGCAGCAGATGAAGCAGATCAGCTCAGCACTTGTTAGTCCTGCCATAGGAGATGGGGATGTTTTAGCCCAGACATGCAATGCCTTTGGGGAACATAAAGAAATAGCAAGCTGCCCCTATGTATGAGGAGTTTATTGTGAAAATAAAGCCATGCTCTTCAGAGCAGTGCATAGTGTGAGGACTAGAGATAGCAGACATAAATGGAAACAAGAGAGATTCAAACTGGATGTAAGAGGGGGAAAAAAACCCACTTTTCTCTCTGAGGACAGCTGAGCAGTGGAACAAGTTACCTAAGGAGGTTGTCCTGTCACCATCATTGGAGGTTTTCAATATCCAATTGCATAAAGCTCTGAGCTACCAACTCTGATCCCATAGATGACCCTGTTTTGAGCAGGAGATGGGCCCAAGGTCCCCCACGGTCAATTTCCACCGGAGTGACACACTGATTCTATGATGATACTTTGCAAAAGCTCCTCATTAAGTCTCACTCATGAAATAAAATGTTATTCCTAGCAATTCAAAAGTAGCAGAATATGATTTAAAGTAACTTTTAAAATTCTTGGCAATTTTTGTCCTGTGTTCAGGCAGTGTCTAATGAGTCTCAGCCTGCTTGAGACCAGGAAGCTATACCACAGGTAAAATTAAAATTCAATGGTTTTCCTGAGTATCCAAGTTGGTTTCTCTTACTTTTCTGACTGTAACTTTATAAATTATGATAAAAATAATAATTTCCTGACTGAAAATAAGAGAATAAGAACTTCTTGGACATTTAGGCTGATTATGGAACCTTTTTATTACAGATTTTACAAATTTACTCACTTCACTAGTACTGACAGCTGTTGGTGAGAACTCCTGGCATTCACTCCTTTGCAGTGAAGTGAGGCTCAGAACAGTACATACACAGTATTTTTAACTAAGGAAAAAAAAACTTCCTTGTGAAACCACTCTTTTACAATTTTTTGAAAGTGCTTCCTTCTGTCACCAAGTCTTCAATTGTGGTAATGAAAGTTTCTCATTTCATGTGATGTTTACAAAGCACCAGTGACTGTTCAAAAAAGCAACAGGAGTTTTGCAAAGTGAAACTGATGAAACAGATTTCCTGGACTGGTTTGACCAGACTTACAATGTGAAGTATATATGTCTAATTTATGATAGCAGCCCCAAATCAGGATCATGGCCA